GGGAGGGGGCGCTTCGAGCATCCCGTGCCGGGAAGGAGGTTAAACGCGCGGATAGAGCCGCGCCACCGCGGGTGTATCCTGTTGAGTGAGACCCCCGCCCCAACCCTCCCGATGCGGGACTTAACGACTCGGCAAACAGCGACGCGACACACTAAAACTTGCGCTGCGTGCCGGGTGCTCGAGCCTCGAGCCGGGCCGCGGCGCGCCGAGGGGGCTCCTGCACGCCGCACACCCACAGGGAGGGCGCAAGCCTCTCCACGGCCTCGTCCGTCAAACAGGCCAGCCGGCCGAGCCACGGCGACGGCGTCCTCCCGGTGTTCGCGGAGCAAAGGCAACCGGGGGCGGCGCCTGCTGCTGCACCTCCGCGATGTGCTTGTCGTCGAGGTGCTCGCGGGAGGAGAAGAGGGTACATGCTCGGGGCGGAGGGGCGGCGGGAGGCGGGAGGCCGGGGCGTGCGCCGAGAAGAAGCGAGACGGGCGTGACACGTCGCCATCAGGCACTCGCCCCCGCCCCCGCGGCCCCTCCTCCCCGAGGCCCCACCGATCACAGGCGGCAACGGGGAGAGGCTCCACCCCCGCACCCGCCTCGCCCCGAAGGCCCCCTCCCCCAGCCTCGCCATGTGACACGCGGGCCCCGCGGCACCCGGCTCCCCCCGGCACGCCCGCGGCAGTCGCGCACCCGATCTGGCCGCAGGCTGAGCGAGCGCAGAGCGGGCCTGGGGGCACCTGGCCTCCTGGGGCCCACCCGGCGGGGCTGGCGCGCCCTGGCCCTGGCCCATGACGTCTACGTCCGCCTCGCGGTGGGAGTCGTCCAGCAGGCCCCTCGTCGTCCGCACCGTCTGGGTCAACGGCCTGCGCCACGCCATTCTCACGCCCCCGCTGGAGCTTGGTCTACCGCGACCAGGCCGCGAGCGCTGGCCGGCGTCTGGGGACCGCGGCAACAGGACCAGCAGCCCCAGCAGCGCGTCGGCGACCTCCACGGCCTCGGACGACTCTGACAAGGACAGGAGACAGGTTGCGGACGGGGCGGGCGTCCCGCGCGATGACGACCTGTCGCGCTGCCTGGTGCGCTGGAAGGTGCTCGTCGCCAGACCTCGGGAGGACGGGCACGGGGACGCCGACGATGACGCGGGTGCGGACGCCGACGGCGAGGAGGAGTGCGAGGATCAGGGAGGCAAAGACTCGGGTGGCACTGCCCTGCTGGGGAGCTACACGACCACGTACCAGCCCCTGTGCGTCGACGGTAACGTGCTCGCCGCTGCCCCGCCGGACGGCTCACCGGACACCGACCCGGAGCAAGTCGACGCGACTGCCCAGCAGACACCCCGCCGACACGGGGACGCGGGCTCGGACCTCAACCCGCTGTCGGAGCGCGTGTTGCAGTGGCTGGACCTGGCCGGGAGGGGGGACTGCCACGGCCCGGTGGCCAAGAGCGGCCAGCGTCGCAACGTCTCGACGGCGTGCTCGGCGTCGGCCGCCTCCAGGCGCCTCCACACCGCGCCGCGAACCAGGAAGTTCTACCCCGTCGCCGCGTCTGAGGTCCCCGGCCCCGGGCCGGCCGCGGGCGTGGACCGCCAGAGGATGACGCTGTCCTCGGCGCGGCGCAGTGCGAGCGTCGACGTGGTCCCTGCCGCCGCGCCCAGGGCGGAGACGCACGGCCTCGCCAGGACGACGAGGACGCCGACGCCCCCAACGCCACCCTCGGCGCCGCCCATCGTGCAGACCTTCGGCACGACCTGGTCGTACTCGCACGGCCGCGGGGGGCAGAGCAGCGCGCAGCCCAGCCAGTCGCGGCCACAGCTGCACATCTTTGTGCCGGCCCTGCAGGGGGGCAGGGAAGCGCCAGCAGCGGGGGACCTACAGGAAGTGTCTGACTGCGAGAGCGGCATCAGTGACGCATAAAGCGGCGTCACAAACAAATGGCAAACTCTCATCTCTGTGGTTTGCAAATCACATGACAATAAAACATGAATAGCCTGTATACTTTGGGTGCACAGAAGAATTACCTTAGTTAACTTCTTAGAATTTGTCATTTGATACAAGGTGGATCTTTGTCCAAAAAATTGTACTTGTTATGTAATTACTATAATACAGATTATTAAAATAAAAAAAAGGAAAACAGCAAAGCTTACCTTAAATGACTCTGTGTCAATGAAACGAGCTTGAAATCGAGACCGGAGGGGAGGATCCAATGGATTGCCTTGATATTTTGGTACAGGTAGACCTAATGCAATAACCCGGAAGTCATCACTAACTCGAACTAGTTGCCAGCGCTTTAGCTCTTCTTCGCTGTGCTCCTAAAATAACATTTCAAAAAATGTAATCAAGATCAGTTTGCAAGGTTTAACAGTACAATCATAATATTCATTGTTGACTGTGTACATATTTCATAAAATAAAAAAAAAAATATAATATTTTGCATTAGAACCTTTAAAGTAGTTTATCATAACGGCTGGCAGGTATTAGGAATCGGCCATCTTCTAGGTGCATTTCACGGTTCTCAAGTAAATTGTTCAGAACAGGCAGAACATTCCTCTCTGCCTTCTCTACACCTTCAAGAATTAATACTCGCCCTTCAACTGCAGCCCTAACAGCACTCTAAAACAGTGAAAATAATTCAAAACTCAATAAATATTTGCCATAAAGACGAAAAAATAATAAAAATAAGTGCACACAATTACCTGATCAAAGTATTTAGAGCTACCATTTTGAATCTCTCGGCGCTGCTTTAGATCAGCTTCTGTGGTATCTCTGGAAAGAGCGACAAATTCTAATTCCCGTCCAGTAACCTGGAGAAATTGCATGGCTAATCTTCTGCGTGCAGGTCCAGGACGCCCCATTAAGAACATATCTTGACCAAGGAGATCCTTCTGCAGCATCCATCGTAAATGTCTCAAAGTATGTTGACTCTCCTTTGCCTTTACTGATGTATTGCAGACAAAAAGTATACATTGGCATTAGATAGGAAACAAAAGAAATGTGTATATGGGTGTGGGTGTGAGAGGAAAAGAAAGGAATGCAATTCCCAACTCAATGGTGAATACTTACAATACTTTATAGGTACATATTCCGGATTCTTTGGCTCTGAGACATCTTTTGATACATCACCAATGGTCACCTGAGTTTTAGCTGAAGATCAATTTAAATATTGTGTTAGGCATGATTCAGCAATTGAATAAATCAGCATTAGTGACTCAAATTGGAAAAAAAACAAAAAAAAACAGAGAATAATCTATTTACTTGAAGCTAGACGGTATGTTTCTAGTCCCGCAGAGGTACGTTTCATATAGGGCTTTGGTGTATTCAGAATTCTGTTGACTACAGTTAGTCGTCTTGATGAAGCTGCAGTAAACATGGTGTCGTTTGTCTGATTACCCAGGAGGTTAGGTACATTTGTCATGGAAACATACTCTCCTGGAGACAAACCAGCTAGATTAAAATGAGAGCAGAAGACATCTACAGGTATAAGTGGAACACTATTGAATGTCATATAACCTGGACCTATTAATGTCATTTTGAAGAAAGAGAAGGTGAATAAAATTTGCCCTACAGATTAGATTTATACACAAGAAATGACGGACGAAAAGTCAACAATATTTACATATCAACGGATTTGCATTGTATCTGATTGCATTTATTTACCGACCATAACCCTCTGCCCACAAGTTTCTTTTCAATATACGAGAGCTAATATTTATGTCATTCTGAATAAACCAACTGACAAATAAGAAACCTACGTTTATAATAGAATACCTACAAAACTTTTCCTTAAAATCTTCCTAAATCACAGAAAATGTGAGTAATTTCCATGTGTTGTGCTGTACTTTGAAACTTCAAGCTAGACGCAAGCAGGGCAAAGTTCAAGGCTTGTTACACATCGATATTGCTATTGGGGTCGCCTTTAGTTTATTGGTTCATGCATGTTCCTGAATAATAAATCAATTTCTATTTCCAGTAAATTTATACCGTTATCCAAGAAGCTTTTACAATAAATTCAATAGTGGTCGCCAAAGACTGTTATGTGAAAGTTGTGCGGTTACCTACCCTTCGTACTCTCGCCTGCCGGGAAGGCGCTCAGATTCAAACGTAGGAATTCAGAAGTATGGGACAAAAAGCACACTAGCACACTGAAGTGAAAAGTAATTTTCATTACTTTTTAATTTAGTTACGTTACCTTACGATGCCCTGATCACAAAAAATCAAATTCTTGACGGGAACGGCAACATGACTTCGCATATCGACTTTTACGTGTGATTTCTCGCCTTACAAAATATTTTCGTCGGTCAGTAACAAAAATCCTTAATTTCCCAGATGACACCACCATTAACTATTAGTAAGAATCAAGTGTACTTCGGTTAACGAACGGAGGGAGAAGAATAGCGGCTGGAACATAGAGATTCCTGATTGGTTGAGCCGAGCTTAGCCTTTACCCCCACTACCGGTGTGAAATTGAAATTGAAATTGAATTTATTAAGGATCCTCAAAAAGGGCTAAGAAGCCCCACTACATGAGAACCCGCTCTCTAGCAGGATGTTTAAAGCTACTTAATGACTAATAATACTTAAAACTAATGTAACAACTAAAGATTAAGTACAGGATACAAACAACACGACAATTTTATGCATTCAGTAACTTTCTCCTGATGGTCTGCGGTGACAGGTGCAAAAGCTGATATAATTTTAATTCATTCCACAATTGAGATGACCGGACAAGAAACGACAAATGATATTTTTGAGTTCTGTGAGTTGGTATTCGTAAACGCGACTTGCTGGACCTAGTTCCTGATGATTTATTTAGATAAGCAAACTGGTACAAATTTCTTAAATAGCTGGGAGACTTGGACTTAATAATTTTACTCACGAGGACAGCTGTAAAGCTATTGTTTGTAAGCAACGCTTCAAAATCCTTCGTAAGCTACGAACTTTTTGGGTTGCATTACAAACCTATTGTTCGTAAGCAATTTACAGTGTTGTACTGAAATAAAGTCGGCGCATGCTACCACTTTCTACGAACGTAAATGTATGAGAAATTGTTGCAATCTAAGCACGTTTCCTGTCTGTGTCGCAATCATGCTGGAGGGTAAGTAGAAATCATGTCTTAGAATATAGTCACGTGTTACCAATGAACTTTACTATTCCACTCTACTTTGGAAACGGCCTCTTGGTTTAAAGTGCACTGTACCCTTTTGGGCTTCACCCCTTAATCAAAAGTTGACTTGAAACTGAATCATAACCACAACATACGATGAAATTCCTGATATCACCTGTAAAAATAGAACCGAATCAGAATTTTAGAAAGTTGCTTCCTTAGGTATGTAAGGAGTTTTACCAAACTTACTGCCATCATAGTTACGGTGTCCAAAACAAAGAGACCCAGGACACTACAGTGCGATTCCTGAATGTTGATTTGCTCCATGAATAAAGTAATCTGACAAGGGAAAGTAATAGAAGATAATGCATGACAAATGGAGTCCTTCATTCGATGGTCAAGTGATTACCTCTTCTCTATCCTGCACCCCAATAAATCTGGAGCTCACTAAGAAATTTTGCATGATGTGACCCATCTTGATACTCTGTAAACAAGCAAACAGATAAACTTTGTCGCACACAAAATCCAAGACGTAAACAAGTGCTACCGGAAATAGAAGTACTCACTTCGAAGGAAAACCACTGGTAACTGCAGCACAATATTACGAAATACGTAACATTCGCCAGGGCATAGATGACCTCTGGGAGAAGAGGGATCCGAGCAGGCCCCCTAACGTGCAGCGCGTGGACAACGTTGGACAGGTGGAGCGTTTCGTAAAGTAAAGTGTTGAGAACGAGAAAGAGCAGCCACCACTGGTAGACGGAGTACGCGGCCAGGCAAATGTCGAAAAGCAGCTGTTGCCGCTGTCGCAAAGTCCTCCAGGCCAAGGGTTCAAGGGTATCCCCGTGGAGGGGGACTATCTCATCAAGTTGGGGCTCGACCCGCCTCCACAGCACCCTGCCGGGGACCCCACTGGTGGCGCTGGGTAAAGCGAGCGCCGGCCACAAGTCCATGGGCTTGACGACAAGTCCCTTCTCCGCGGCCCACTCGGCTCCAGTCGCAGGCGTCAAAGACTGCAGCCGGCTCGGAGGCCTCGGCCACAGGTCGCTCGGGGGAACCCGGGGCGCGGGCGACGGCCACCACTCGTACATCCTGGAGAGCCTGAAGGGCAGCGCGGCTCTGTGCCGGCGGCCGCGGGTGACGGTCACCTGGAGGAGGCAGTCGTGCCTGAGGTCCGCCGCCAGCGACCCGATCACCACGGCGGGCAGGAGCACCACCACGAAGGGGACGATCGTCCTGATGGCCGCGCTCGCGTAGGCGTAGACGATGCGCAAGACCATGAGCAGCGAGGCAAACTTGTAGAGCTGCATGACGGTGAGAGCGAGGAAGTAGCCGACGATGAGGAAGTGCAGCGGCACCAGCATGAGCGTGGCGAGCACCGCGCGCCACCCGCGCGCCGTCATGGGGTGGCGGTCGCAGTACGCGCGCACGCACTGCACCAGCTCGGCCAGCGCCGCGCGCCGCCCAGCCCCCGCGGCCAGGGCGAGCACGCGCAGCATGCCGATCGCCCAGGTCGCCACCTGCCAACAGAGGCAACCAGCTAGTACCCTGCTGGCCCCAGGACTTGGCCGTAAAGCCAGTAGGCCCGACCCTCCTTTAGCCCGAACACTTGGTCGGAGGTTTCTAGCCAGCCAGCGCCCAGCGTACCGGGTGATTCAGAGAAGACGCAGGTGCGCGCGGGTTTGCCTACCGAAGTGGCTATGGCGCCTTACGTGCAGAGCGGATAGGCAAAGCGTCTTCTCTGAATCACCCGGTACACATGGGCGCCCCTTGCCTTGATGAACTCGCTGTGGAGCGAATCGCCGGCCAGGGCCGAGGTCGGCAGCTCCAGCGCGAGGAAGACGAGGACCATCGTGGCGTAGGCGGAGCACTTGGACCATGGCCTGGGCGGACCGGGCCCGAACGGCCATCCGGCCACGGGCAGGTGGCTCGTGACCGCGGCCAGGATGCCGACGAGCCGCAGCAGCGGCAGCGCCACGCACCGCACCATGGCCGCCGTCCTCCCCGAGGCCAGAGTGGGGCTCGCCTCCAGCAGGAAGCGGGCCGTGGGCCGGATAAACATGATGGGGAGGGCCTCAAAGTGGCGCGCTCTCATCGTGTACTCAATCGATTAACATACCCTCGTCTTCCTGTGTTTTCTTTGGCCGTCATTGGCATTATTATGCCATGTTCGAGGGATTCCGAGAGGGAAAAACTTTCCACGTTCACCACGTTTACACTACTTGTGTGCAGTGGGCTGCCTCTACGCCAGGCCTCCTCGCCTACTAGTCCACATTCGTACACCTAGGCCGAGGGGTTGCCTGAAGCAGGTGCGTGTGCACCCCACACAACATCTGGGCACCTGTGGGAAATTTGCCTACGTTAGGGATCATCCAGAAAGTACGTCCGTTTTCCTCAGATTCATTCGGCAAAACACTGAAGCTCGGCGCCTGTACGATTCAGGGTAGGCCACCCCGCCGCACATGTATGCATCGCATCCAAAATGTTGTCTACCTACCAGGCGCCATGAGAGCTTGCAAGGGCTGAACTTGGCAGGTTTGTAAATGCTTTCTGGATGAACCATTATCTGGGAACACTTAGGGGTGCCAGGCCAGAGGCGACAGCGGCGCTACCCCCTTGCCCCAGCCAGCGCGGGGTCACTCCGCAGCTCGGGGTGTCTCCAGCACTTGCGCGCGGGTCTGCTCACTGCGACGAGATGGCAGCACGAGTTTGAGAACGAGGGCTGGGCGGCAGGGGATGCCAGAGGTCCCTCGAGCTCGTTGTATAAGTTCCACTATTGTCGGGCCGGAGAAGTGGGTATTTGCACCACTAAAGTTGAAATGTATCAGAAGGAAAATCTACTTCGGAAATTAAAAAGATTAAAAAAAAGGTTGAATTAAGACACACAAACGGAAAACTTAGAATGTTGTAACTAAACTGTACCGGATCTAGACGTACCTACTGGACCACAGTCACTAATCATGGCTCCGAAACGACCCGAGAGAGTTCGGCAAAAGTTACGCAACCCGCACACCCGCTACACCCGCGTTTACAAGGCACATAGTGTAACTGGGACAGAGTTTTCAGCCACCCACAATAATAGCAAATTTACTCGATTTTTCGTTGAACTTTTCGTCTCCCCAAGAATTACAAATGCCGCCGAAAGCTCGAAAACAACCATTTGGAGCAAGATTCTGTCATTTTCCTGGACCAACATTCGATTTCCTAGCTTTCCGTGACCCGTGAAACACGCCCAAGAAAAATCACCGAACATTCATACGAATCTTTAGCGCCTACGTAGCGAGCACCGTTGACGTCCTGCTTCAACGAAATGTAATGAGAGAAAGAGCGAGAGAGAGACAGATACAGAGAGAGGGAGACAGAGAGAGACAGAGCGAGACAGAGAGAGAGAGAGAGAGAGAGAGGGAGAGAGCGAGACAGAGAGAGAGAGAGAGAGAGAGAGCGAGAGAGAGACAGAGCGAGACAGAGAGAGAGAGAGAGAGAGAGAGGGAGAGAGCGAGACAGAGAGAGAGAGAGAGAGAGAGAGAGAGAGAGAGAGAGAGAGAGAGAGAGAGAGAGACAGACAGACAGACTTACATAGCACTGCATTGAGTGACACCAATGGGACATTTGAATGGCAGCATGATGACGTAGAGGGGGGCGTTCGTCTCGCAATATATGCAATTTTCGCTGACTGAGCTACGCGGAGTACAACCCCTCCCCCCCTTCCCTCCTCTGCAACCCTCGCAATTCCCGATCTCCCCGCTCGCTCCCCTGCCTCTCCTCCCTTATCTCTTTCTCCCCCCGGCGCCTCCCCATCCCCAGCCCTCATTCGACGATATTTGAGACCCGACTGATTGACAATGCGCGTCCTCCTCGAGTCAAAGGCGGCCCAACAGACTGAAATGTCCCGGAGCCGAGCCGAGCCGAGCCGAGCCGAGCCGAGCCGAGCCGAGCGCGAAATGAGGAGTGTTATGGGATGGGCCTCGAGCAGCCGCCTCACGGCGTCATTGTACTTCAAGTGCACGACGCACAATCCCCGCCCGCGCCTCGCCTTTGAGACGGACGATGCCATGCCGAGTACTTTATGTCACTGCAAGTCACGTCGCCCAGTGCAACGCGCGGGACACAATAATCAAGGAATTGTGTGTCTCCCGCGGAGGAAAACGAGACCCTATTACGCTGAAACCTTCTGCCTTCTGTGCGCTTGGCTCCGGCCCCCAGGAGCGCCTAATCTACTGCTCCACAAGGCAACTTGCTCCAATCTCCATGCTGGCGGCTAATCCCGACCCAACAGAGAGAGAGGCAAAACCGGGCAAAACTCATGCAAGGCAAGCCCCCCTCCCCCTCCTTCCAGCGGGCCCTGCACTTTGCTGCCGCCTCTACCCCAGATGGGGCTGCGCTACGCCACGCCACAGGCAAAAGCCCTGGCGGGGGGCGCCTCGACCGTGGCATTATGAGGGATCATACAATGATACCCTCCCTCCATCACGCCACGCCCCGCCACGCCCAGCTCCACCACGCCCCGCCACGCCCCAGCATGCCCCGCCACGCCCAGCCGCCTCTTTTACACGCCCCTCTTAGGGAATAATGGATGAAACCAAAAGCGTAGGAAGCGGCTTAGGTCGAAGGGGCACGTCAGTAAACCTTCAGCGGGAGGGCGCGTCGCTGGGCGGGAGGCATGGCCACGACCCTGTCATTAGAAAAGCGAGGGAGGGGCGGGAGAGAAACACGACCCAGCCCTCTGCAGTATTTCTCATCCGTTACTCGCTCGCCCCCAACCACTCCCCGCACCACTCCCGCGCCCCCCTCGCGCCATGTCCGCGCGGGGCCGTCGTCCCCGCAACATCCCGGGCGTCGACGGTCTATTCCACGAGTGCTTAGCGAAATGTGTTGAAGTTTACCCGCGAAAATCCCCACATTGAATGTGTTGGCACGCCCCGTCCGGCTTTGCGGGGCCGGCTCCCCCTCGGCGCGGGCCCCGCTCTGCCTCCTCGCCGCGCCCGAGTGGGGTGGGGGCAAGGCGACGAGGAAGTGGAAGAAAAAGGAAGTTGGAAAAATATTCTCTGCTCCACTAGATTTTTTCGTTCAGATATACTTTCAAAATAATTTTTGTATAAAAATCTTGGATTGCACTTCAAAATAAAAACCGGTGAACTTTGTGGTGTAAGAAAGTTCACCGGTTGTAATAGAATGGGGCTGGGATCTGAACATTTCCAACGCCTATTAATTCAATCTTAACCAAAATTTTAGAAGGAACGTTTTTGGCTCGGTTTTGGTGGCTTCAAATGACAATGACAATGACTCTGACAAGTACTATTTGCATCATAAATTTCTAGTGGATCCAATTTACAATGGTGGACGGTTTTCTGCATGCATATTCAGTTAGGATTCAGCAAGATTAAAGAGTGTGCTCTTTCTCGTTTACATTCTGCTGTGCACATGCATTGAATCCCTTTTATATGCGTGTGCCTGTAGCAGCAGTTTACGACGCTGATATGAGACCGCAGCAGGAATTTTACGGGCCGAAAATAAATGCAGAAAGGACAGTGTAGCCGGTCGGCCAGAGGGCCCGCCCGGCCCGCCCTAGGCGGGTCCTGCCCAAGTGCCGGCCGACAGAATTTACGGTGTTTCAATTTGCATATGAAGCAAAGCAGAGCGGCGGTGCGGCGGGGCGGCGGCGGGGCGGCCGGGGGTGCAAAGCGAAGAGCACAGCAGAAAGACCGGGGCAGAGTGAAACCGAGGCGGGACGGTGGAGGAGGGTTGGGGGGGGGGGGGACTGATAACAGAACAAAGAAATTGATGGGCCATTTCCCCAATTGAACTGGGTTCGGCCACGACCGGCTGTGCCACCATGGTGGCGTGCGGACCTCCGCCCCCTCGCCCCCTTCGCAGACCCACACCACACCCCTCCTCGTGGACCCTCCAGCACCACCCCCTCTCACGGAGTTGATCCACCCCAGCAGGTGGTCCACAGCGCGTGGCGGGGCGTGGCGGGGCGTGGCGGGGCGTGGCGGGTAGTATATAGTATATGGTGCCCCTTGCCCCCTGGGCCCGGCGTGGCCCGTCGTGACGAGCCACTCGGCCAGTCCACATCTCCCAAACAGGAGGCGATGCGGGTCGATGGTGCCCCGCGCCCGGCCGCCGGCCCAGCGCCATCGAGGATCGGCACACTGCCCCAAAACCCCATCAAACTTTCACCAGGCCGTCGCGTCCCCCTGCTCGGCTGAATAATCGCGGGGCCACACCGCACCGACCAGCCGCCGTCACGCGACTGTCGGCACACGGCAAGAGGGTGGCGGCCGGGCAGGTAGAGCGAAGAAGACCCGCCATCACACAGGAAATGTGGCACGAGAGTAAAAGAAAAAGGAAAACAACAACCGAAAAACCAAGCGCTTCTCCTTCAAACAAAATTTTTAATAAAAGCGGCACGCGCGCGCCCGCGTGCCTCGGCACTTGTTGAAGTTTTCAACCAGCTCCTATAGAATTTGCAAACAAGTCCCCTCTCTCCCCGTCCGTCCCAGTCGTTCGCAAATAAAGGGTTGAAAACGCCCGCCATACGGCCAGTTCCCATCCTTTACCTCTCCGCGTCGGTTTTCTCTCTC